TGTTCTTCCCTCCGCCTCTGCAACTTTCCCACAAAGCGAGGTTCTCTGACCGTAGCTTTAAGGGCACATTCATTGTGAGAAAGAAAAAGTTCGACAAAAGTCATCGTAGAAGTTTGAGATCAGAGTGAAAGTTTGCTTGAGGCACGGTGGACATTTTAGTGACGCCGTTTTGACCTTCCGTCAAATGTTTTCTGCCTGTTCGCTCAGTAGCCCCCCCAGATAAATCTAATTTTGTCCTTTCAGTCAGCTGTACCGGAGTGTCATGTGTTGGAGGCAAAGAGTGAACGAAGAACTAAAATAGCTGAAAAGGGCGTAACAAACACTTAGATGGTGTTTTCTTAGAGGTGGAAGTTGTTCTTGTATGATCTGTCTTTTCCTTTTCATTTAGTCTTGCTGAATTTAAGAAAAAAAAAAATTAAAGCCCAAACATCTCAAAACTCCATTGGGCGATGCGTTCCTGCACTTCCACTCTCACACCGACTGTGTGATGCATGAGCTCCCACAGGAATAACAGATGTGTTCTCAAAGTGTAATTAATTTTGGAGATGTTAAAATGTTTGCAAAGTCACTATTTCATAGCTATACAGTCAGGCCCATAAGCACTAGGAAAATGACACAATGTTTGTGGTTTTACCTCGGTACACCACCACAGAAGAGTTTAAATCTAACGATCAAGATCTGGCTATGGCGCTAGGAGAGAAGCGGTTACCAGAGTGTTACGCCAAAGTATAACTCTGGAAAACTCGTCAGAGCTCCATTCTCCAGATACTTCTCTCTGAAACACAAAGTTTGGTGGGGGAACTCATCTGTAAAGATATTTCAGTCTCGAATGAAGTGTGACTAAAAAACAAAAATGCCATCCACATCTTCACATTGGCAGTGTGACAAAAAACTACATTTGTTTTCCTTTGTGTCATGTTACCGATCACAATATGACTAGGTAAGCAACACCCACTGCTAAGAATAGGAAGCTTGCATTGTGGAAGTCATTTACAGAAATGTGCTGAACCCTGCCGGTTTCAGCATGTCAGGTACCCTGTATATGTAATGAAACACCTATACTCTCCTGTGCTAGAGCTACACCAGACTATGAATCCTTAAATGAAGAGTTGTCAGTAGATGTACAGGAGCCTGAACACCTCACCATTGTGTCTGCACTGTCACTTCATTCTTGTAAAAAATAAGGATTGGAGAAATAAAGGATGATATATTGCACTTCTACCTGTCATGTACCACTGACCAGTAGGAAGACAGGACAAAGAGGTATGATGTCATGATAAACAGGTGGTTTTTTTGGGGTTTTTTTGGTATTTTGATGGCTGAACAATGAGATTGCTGGTAATTTATGTCAGGAAATGGAAGGTCAAGTAGATATAGAGCTGAATAGGTAATTAAACAGATAATAAAGGTATACAATAAGAGTGTGTCACAGGAGAAAGTCCTAGAGCAGAGCAAGAGATAAGGCTGACCTGGCAGGGAAGATTTGGACACGTGTGAGAAACAGAAAGCAACAGAAGGTTATTTTTAGCCAGCCAATTCCACAAATATTGCAGAGTTGCTCGTTGCTTTTGTTGGTTGGGTTTTGCTAGCCCCACGAACTCCCAGGCACATGCCTGGCATCCAGATCCCAGCAGTGACTGACTGGTTTCTGACATGCACCTGAAACCAGCTCTGACCCCTTTCCAGACAACACACCGTTTAACTGTCACAACCCATCTTTCCATGGCAGGCCACTGCTGAGGTGTCAGTTAGTGCTCTGCAGAGCTAGGTTTTCAAATGGGGTTATAAAATATAGCAGTTAAAATCTTGTAATATGAAATATTATCAATTATTAGCACTTTTTAATTCCGTACATGGATATCTAAAAGGACAGCAGCACCTGAACACAGATATGCAAAATGCTCCCACGCCTATGGTGCAGGAAAGGAACACATTAAGTAGCAATTATACCAATTAACACTCCCGAAAACTCCACCAAGGCTATTTCCTGATCAATGAAAACTATACAGTAGTGCAGTTAAGATAAGTGAGATATCTTAACTCGATGTGTACCGCCATCTTGGATTTGTCTATATTCAAGACAAATTGGAGGTTCATCGCAGAGCTAACACCGACAACCACACACTATCATCATTTTGAATCATCAGTTCTCCAAATCAATTCACCTTTAGCTAATTTGGAAAACCATACAGGCACAGGAATAATACGCAAACTCCACACGAAAAGGCTCCAGCCATCCTGTATGTGTTCATTTGAGATACTGTTGACAGCCTCATTTGAAGTTTTAACAGAGATTTTTTGTTTAACTGGCTCTTTTCTTTCTTTCTTTTTTTAATATAAATTTAACAGATCTAATGCGTGCTTTCACCTCATAAAGCCTGAACCATGAAATAATTGCCAGAAAAGTCTAACTGGAGGATTTATGGAACCTTCTGAAAAATTAAGAGGAAAGAAATTAAATATCAATTTGCATATTAGTTTTAATTTGTATCCTTTTTGCTACAACGAGCATTTATGTGTATTTATTGCTCACAGTAGCACCACGTGTCTAATTGTGTACATCAGGTTTTTCTGAAAAAACAAATAAACATGATGTAAAGGTCTCACAAACTCATGCACCAAGCAGGATGCACTACAGGGTTACAGGACCTTCTTTCTGCTGCAATTGGAGTCTAAAGCATTCCCTAAGAATTGCAAGAGCAAGAGCTTCTCTGTCATGGAAACTGATGCCATGAAGCTCCCAGCGCACACTTTGTGTGCTGATGCTAATAACGGTGGAGGTTTGGAACTCTGCAGTTATTGACTCAGGCAAGCTTTTCACAAACTATGCACGCTGCTCTATAACTCTAGTCAGCCAGTACAAACAAACAGTATAACGTCAATTTCTGCCACAGTGAATTTTATGAAAAGAAGAAACTTTCACTTGCCATTTTTTTAACCCTTACCAAAGCTGGTGAAGTCATCGTATGGAGAAATGCTAAGATAGCAGGAGCTCTAGTTCCAATGCGATGCTTCACACCAATATAAATGTATATATAAGTATAAAATGGGGCAATAACAACAAGCTCTATTTGTGCATGAGATCTGTAAAACCTAATGACCCATCACATTCAATCACATCCATTCATACGCTATGAGTTTTGAATGACTTTGTGTTTGTCTTATTAATGCAGCTGTGATCCATAAACATGATGCTTAATGGGTATTGTTGTTTTTTTGTCTTGTATGCTCATATTGTAACAACAATGATATAGCCAAGGATTAGCCACAACACTCAACTGTAGAGTCGGGCATCAGGACTTTGGCAGCAGATCCATTGGGTCCTATGGGTTGTCACAGAAGCTTGATCATATTGGAATCTGGAGAGTCTGAAGACAACGTCAAAAGATCCACATCAATGCCAGGACTCCTGGTTTCCCAACAGAACACTGCATTGTAACAAGATGATCAATGTTATTCTCTCCCAGGGGTTTTAATGTTGTGGCTGATCAGTGTAATCCATAAATCAGTCCAGTGTGGACATTTCAAATCTTGTATACATTTCCATCTCCTCGTTGTGCCTCCCACAGGCAACACAATCTATGAAAGCCCACAGCCATGCAAATATCCCCCTTTTAACACCGGCAAACCCCTACCCCCAGCAATGACTCATTGTTGCACCAGAAACCAGTGACTGACAGTATATGTCCAAGCATGGACACTCATTTGACCAGATTAGATTTACAGTACGTCTGCAGTGCATTTTAGAGCATTCACCTCGCCTTTTCTGTTTGCACATTATTCAGCCAACATTCATTTAAGCATGAAAAAAGTGTGTCTGTTTGTGTGTGTGTGTGTACAGCAATTGGGTCTTTGTGTTCATGCCTTACTGTCTGCGTGTGCACCACACTGAACCCAGCTGAGCCACCACAGCAGATCAAAGGCTTATCCCAGTGTCAAAATCAGGACTGTCTCATCCTTGTCAATCCACGGGCTTGCAAAAATTCGATTAATGACAAATGGAGTGAACGCATAAATATCCTGTTTGTAAGATGACTCATCTACCCTGACAACTGAGAGAGAAAGGCAGTTCTTTCTGAAGAACTTGCTAACTTTGCAGATGAGTGTTACGTCACAGAGGCAGCATGGAAACTGGGTCAGGCCCTTTGCACGATGCTCTGAGGTTTTGTTTTTTTTTATGGCGCTATTATGAAATACTCTCAACAGAGGAAAACAGTGTCAGAGACTAACAGCAGTGGTGATATAACCAACTGAAATCAAAGTGGTAAGTAGTTCTTTACTGAGGTCGTGGTTGTTTGGACACTGCATTTCTAATACCTGGTACATAGTTCTGCATTTGCAGTCTGCCTCCTCATAAGCGAGGGATTATAGTTGGTAACATACTGGTCAGGGTCAGCCAAGTTTCTCTGCCCTACACCCAACCTTTCTCTCTCAGACTCTTTCTCTGTCTTTCTCTCTTACTCACATACGCACACGCACAAAACCCTCTCTCCACATCTAAATCTCCCTCTGGGTAATCAGTCAGTGTGTATTTTTAAATCTGTCACTAATCTCTATTATTGGCATAACCCACAGGACAAGGTTACCTTTCATACTTTTGGTACTTGAACACACGACTACATGCAAGTATATACAAGAAGAGTAATGTTCAGTTTATATGCTTGTAGGATTCTTTTGAGCGGAAAATCATGGGAATGTTATGCTGTCCTCATCAATGACACACATTTGACAAAACAGATGACAAAACAGATGCCACAGATGATGTCTCTGCAGAGATGGACTGAAAAATGTCACGATCCAGCTGTGTGGAGGTGGACACGCCAGTAATCATTTAATTGTTTAAAATTCTGCTGTAAAATTTTTGTTTTTTAATAAACTTTACTAGATGTCATCTGATTGTAGAATGATGAACTGAGGGTAAGGATGTTGAAAACAGCACAGTGTATGCACAAATCTGATATGTCTCATGTTTCTTGTCTGTATGTTTTCTGTTTGCACAGGAGACGCTGCAGTCCTTTTCCTTCCTTGTGTTTGTGGCAGTCTGCATTCTGGGATCCATATACCTCTATGTCGTCCTCCCGGAAACCAAAAATAAAACCTTTATGGACATCAGCCAGAGCTTTGCCAAGATTAATAAAATGCCCATCCCCTCGCCTGGTCAGGAAATGGAGCTGGTTCTGTCTATTAACTCTGACACGAATGGAAAAGCCCAAGATGCCACTAAGATGCAAACGTCCTTGTAAATGAAGGAATGAAGCACAGTCATAATCGAGAAGCCATGTTAAATGTGTGAAAATATGTCTTGTTTTTACATATTTACTGAGCATAAAAAATGAAGTAAAGTCAATGCTTTTTTTCAATGTTTTTTTCATATGACTGCAATTTTTTTTAGATAAAGCAATGAAGCAAGTATTTGTCTGTGTCTCTCAATAAGATGAAACAAATCGTTCCTATTCTGTTCTGAGGCTCTTCAGCAGTCACAAAAATGACTGCGGTTTGGGGCTTACATTAGATGTTGATTCCACTGATTGCTTTTACAGTTCTGTCTAATATTAGAGTGCATACAGAGTTTTTTTTCGGTCTGTTAGTCACTGTTTTTTTCACTTTAAGTCTCTACCAATGTCTCTGAAAAAAATGTATTTTGCTTTGCCAAAACGTCCACAAAAAACTTAATGGGCTAGGTGTTTCTTGGCTTTTTGATACTGATCTGGTTGTGCACAGTGTTGTCTTCATGTTGACATTGGACCAAAACAGTACAGCTGGGGGCGAGAAAACCAAAACATGCTTTATGGGTTTATCACTGCAAGAAACACATCTCAGATGATTGTGTCCTGACACTAAACAGAGGTGTGCCAGAACCACCAGAAATATGATCATTCTTCTTTAGTAACACCAGTTATAGCAACATCACCATCTCTCTTCATCTCAGTCTTCCCTAAGAGCCTAATAAATGAGAGGTGGGACAGACGTGCATCTGAGGAGAGACATAAATTTCAGGATTATAGCTGTAATCCTGATGTCTTGGTTAACGTCTTAATATACACAACCTGGGAGAGAGAACGCAGAGAGCGCAGTAAAGCTGACAGGGAAAGCTATTTGGATCCTTTCCAAATCTGAAACGAGCCAAGGCTACCTCCCACCAGATGGCTGGAGCCAGCGGAGGAAGTGATCTGAACAGAGGCAGACAAGCGTGGCATTGGATAGCAGTCGCAGTTTGTTCCACAGTAGGGCGTACTCAATATTTGAAAGTCCGCTGCCTGGGGGGCTGACACTCTACCCCCTCATATAGACACAGACACAAAGTGTGTTTCTGTGTGTATGTGTCATGCTATGATGGGATGTCCACGTTTTCAAATAGCATTGTAGAAAGGTGGTGGAGAACCTACATGCGTCTTCATGTCCTTTTAATTTTTGCAAATATCCAGTGAGTTAGTGTCTCAGATTACATTTACCTAACATACCAGAAGACGGAGAATGTTGTCCCTTACAGCTCTGTTCCAGCTTGCTACTATTGGAGAATATATTGTCAGAAGCATTACTTACTGTGCAATTTACAGAATGCTTTGCTGGGTGAGTGCTGAGAGAGTAATTATGATACCACACTGCTGCAAAGCCGTATATGTTTAATGAGAGAACACTGCAGAGTAATGTATGCTTGATAAATCGCTGGTTAACCAACCCGTCAGGAAGCGGTGTCAAATTAACTTCAGATTATGCAAAATAAGAAGTGGGTGCAACAGGAGGCATGTGTGAATCCCACTCGCATGTCCTATGAAGAGAGAATGACTGAAAATCAAATTTCAAACAATTCCTTCAACCATTTGAAAACAGAACCCATCGAGGATTTTCCTTCCATTTAATTGATGCACTCTGGTATTCAACAGCTCCTTGTGTGTAAATATTTAACATTTTATCTTAAATCCAGGTTGTAATGCTCATTTGATTTTACAAAAATGTTACCAGCCTCTTTTCATCTGATGAAACAGCTTCTGCCTGGTCTGGCCTGGATCTCTGCAGCAGCACAGCAAATCATACACTGAATGACAGCTGACAGCAATTTGCAATGTGGGTGATATGATTCCACTTGAAAATAACCATCCATGCATTTTCTTAAGTGCTTTTCCAATTCACTTGTTATGGCGATCGCCTTGCAATCGTAAGGTTGCCGGTTTGAGCCCCGGCTTGGACAGTCTCAGTCGTTGTGTCCTTGGGCAAGACACTTCACCCTATGCCTACTGGTGATGGTCAGAGGGCCCGGTGGTGCCAGTGTCCGGCAGCCTCGCCTCTGTCAGTGTGCCCCAGGGCAGCTGCGGCTACAACGTAGCTTTCCATCACCAGTGTGTCAATATGGGTGGATGACTGGACGGGAGGGAGTGGTATAGCGCTTTCCTAGTCCCTAAGCGCTTTACAAATACAGGCCATTTACCATTTCACTGTTGGTGGAAAACGTAACTGCCACTCCCATCCATCCTATCTCTTCCACTTTTCCTTGTCAGGGTTGCTCAGGGGTGGGTGGGCTCAGGGTTAGAATGACCAATTAACCTAACCGCACTAACTGGATGTCTCTGGATTGTGGGAGGAAGCCGCAGTACCCGGTGAGAACCCACGAAACACGGGGAGAACAAAGTGAAGTAGGTGAAAAGATGTCAAAAGCAACACATCATGCCACAATCTAAAGTAATTTCCGTCTGTCAGTCTAAAAAGGGTTGAAAATAAATTTTTAAGGCTCCAGTGAACCACAGTGAGAGCCTTTATTCACATAGAGAAAAAAACGTGCAACAGTAGCGAACAATCCCAGGAGTGGACAGCCTACCACAATTACTCCAAGAGTACATCGGCAACTCATCTAGAAGGCCACAAAAGAACCCAGAGCAACATCTAAAAACCTGAAGGTTTCAATTGCCTCAGCTAAGGTCAGACTTCAACAATAAGACAGAGACTGGACAAAAGTGAACCCATGGGATGTTCCAAGGAGAAAACCACTATAATAATAATAATAATAATGGATTGCATTTATATAGCGCTTTTCAGGGCCCTCAAAGCGCTTTACAATTCCACTATTCATTCACTCTCACATTCATACACTGGTGGAGGCAAGCTACAGTTGTAGCCACAGCTGCCCTGGGGCAGACTGACAGAAGCAAGGCTGCCATATCGCGCCATCGGCCCCTCTGGCCAACACCAGTAGGCGGTAGGTGAAGTGTCTTGCCCAAGGACACAACGACCGAGACACTACTGACAAAAAAGAAACACAAAGGCTTGTCTCACATTTGCCATAAATGTTTGGAAAAATAGTCTGCGGACTGACAACAGAGAAGTTGAACTTTTTGAAGGTTTGCGTCTTGTTACATCTGGTGTAAAACTATAACAGCATTTTTTAAAAAGACTATCATACCAACAGTCAAAAATGGTGGAGGTAGAGTGCTTTGGTGTTTCAGGACCTGGACGACTTGCTGTAATAGATGGAACTGTGAATTCAGTTTTGAGTTATGCAGCAGGACAATTTTCTGAAACACACCAGGAAGTCCACCTCTGAACGGCTCAAAAAGAACATAATTAAGATTTTTGGAGTGGCCTAATCACTTAACTCTAACAAGTTAACAGCTGTTGATATGGTTTGGCATGCTGTTCGTGCTCAAAAAGCCTTCAATTTGGCTGAATTATAATTCTGCAAATGACAGTGGGCCAGAATTCTTCCACAATGATGTGAAAGACTCACGGGCAGTTTTTCCAAACACTTGATTGGTGTTTGGAAACCATGTTATTTTTCATTCTTGCTGCCAAGGGTGGCCAAACCAGTCATTAGGTGTAGGAGGAAAATCCTTTTTCACATGGGCCCAGATAGGTCTGAATAGCTATTTTCCCTTAGTAGTAAACTAAATAATAATTTGTCTAAAATTAAAAAGTGTTTGATCATTTAAAACATGTAGTTTTAGTTTTTAGCACTGTGAAAAAAAGACAGTTTCATCTTTAAAGCACTTTGTTTGGTAGATATAGACTTGGTCTGGCTAACTCTGAGAGCTGATGTATCGCTGTATCTCTTGATTGCAGGTGTGAAATACTTTTTAAAGTTTAAAGTTCATTTCATGTTGAAGTCAAGATTGTCTCCCTTCTCTACAATGAGAAAACTTTCAATGAAAGAAATGAAAATATGAATTTCTGTGGTTTTCTATTTTACCCAATGAAAGCAGTTCTGCAGTCTTCAATGTTTCTGTGCCTCTTATCCAGGTACATTGGAGCCCTTTTTTCTGACACTGCCTGGACTTTGTAGTTTAAAATAAGTATATTCCTTTTTACACAGTTCTGTTATGGTTAAATATGAGGACAAAAATGTTCTCCAAGTCTGGGTTTCTGACAGTGTGTTGAAGTATATCTACATGAACAGTGACAGAAGGTTTCCTGCCCTGCAGATGTGCACTGTATTCTCTCTACATAGTCTGCCTCAGCACTTGAATTATGACAACCAACCAGATGTCTTTGCTTTGTTCATATTGCTGAATCCTGCTTGTATTTCAGTATATTCATCACAAAAATCATTCATGTTTCATGTTTTCTACCACAATAGTCTCAAAGCAAATGCATTTTAATGACTTAATGATGATATGATATAATTTAACATAATCTGATTATTTATCTCTCCGTATAATTCTAACATTGTTCAACTCTATAATCATTTCACTCTAAGCAGACATTTATTGCACGCTACATCTCTGCCATGCTCACCCTCGGAGTTTGTTGCCTCAGCAGTGAAGGATTAACCCACTTTGGAGTCTGCCTGCCCACTGCATTAAACACTCGCTGCTGGATTTGTCTTCTCCATCTGGTCACAGCTAATGGAAAACAAAAGAGACAAACAATCATCGGTTTATCCACCAAATTAACTGTGTCAAACCTGTAATTTACTTTGATGTGAAAACCATAATTATGGAATTTGTCAGACTTTATCTTTTGTCTACACAGCTGCACTATGACTAAGCATCTTTATATTGCACACTATATCCCAAATCCTTTTGGAAAAACATCTAGTATTTTCTTTAAATGATATGCAACTATCAAAGCTACATTGTATGGACTAAAGTATTTGGTCACACTTCTTAATCTTTCAATGTAGGTGCTTTCAGTGCCATTACTGCAGACCTTCCATGATTGAGGAGTTCCAGACCTCAATCATTAACATCAGCACCAAACTGTGTGCTGGGAGCGTCATGGCATCAGTTTCCATGGCCAAACAGCTCCTGGGGGTGTAATATTTACGTGGCCCCGTACTTTTGTCCATATAGTGTATTTCGATTTTCACACAAACAAAAACATAGCCAGGATTCTCCTGTCACTTGATAATAACAAGGATGCTGCCTCCCCATCCTCACAACCAACACCAACAGTATTAGACCCTTGGCACTGCGATGAAAA